AACAAATGCGAGTAAAACTATAAAATAATAATTGTACATTTACAATAATAATAATAATACTAATAATAATACTAATAATAATAACGATATTCATAAATATAAATTTTACTATTAAATTAACAAAAAAAACAAAAACTATGACAACAAATAATCAAATAAAATGCGAAAGAACTATTTCATAATTTAGCATAAATATTTTTTGTGCCGAGGTTACGTTCGAAGCAACACGCGCATCATTGCCATTAGACAAAATAATATTAAATACATATATATATATATATATATATATATAAATACATATATATACATATAAATGTATATAGATATATATATATACATATATATATATATATACATATATATATATACGTATATATATATACAATATAAATATGCCTAAAACTGAATATGAAGTAAAACTATTTATAATAAAATACTTATTGCATATTTTGTGCTGCTGAATGAGGTCACAACGCAACAAAAACATTATAAATAATAACAATAAATAAAAAGTAAATAACTTAATAACAATAAAACAAATATATGTATAATTTAATAAATTTAGAGCAATAAAAACCATGCATACTTATTGTAAGAGTAGTTTTGTGTGTGACTTACACACATACATACATTTTGCGACTGCTCTGTGCGCGTTAAGGAGGCTCTCTTGTACTACAGTAGTACACAACAACATTTCGCAGACACAGGTGCACAGGTACAGTCGCAGAATAGTGCGCACAGTGCTGGCGCAAAGTTTTCGAACAGGCCTGTCAGATTCTACAGCAAAGCGCATCTCTTAAATATAAAAATTCAAATAAAAATTAAATAAACAACTAAAAAAATATAACAAAAAAATGCAAAAATAATAATAAACAAAAAGGCAAACCGAAAAAAACAAACCAAGAAACTTTTTTTAGGCACACTTAAATCAAAGCGTGAAATATTATATTAGTTAAATAAAATAAATGCTTTTTTGTCAAATCACTATAGAAAATTTAAATGAACAACAACTTTAGCTTTATACTCGTACATTTACATTTGTAATATATTACATAAGTCTAGTTAATTACATTTAAAAAAAAAAACTAATAAGAATGAAAATCAAACGAAGCATAGCAAATTAATTCAAACAAATATAAAAGAAAATGAAAAAAAAAGAACTGTAAAAACAAAAGCAAAAAAAAAAGACAGGAACATTTAAATGTAATGCAGCCAGTTATTATGCGTAGTTAAAAATAATAATGAAGAAGAAAATCAATAAAAAAAAATTGCAATTAGATATTCTATATATAAAAATTTTACATTTCTACATATTTTTGTTATAATTGTGGTGTACTTGTATTTATTATTGTAATTTAGTTACAAATATTTTTTGTGTTGCACACACACACACACACACAGACACTCGCACACACAGAGACACACACACATGCTCACACCCATACACAAGCCACACTGATTGCCAACAGTCATAAGCCCATGCAAAGCAGCCGAGAAATAATTTTAAGTACAGTTGTGTACACGTTAACTAATAAATGCCAAGCCTAAAGAGTCAGCTAAACAAAATGAATAAGAACACACAATTATGAAAGTTGCCATCCAGCGAAGTATTTGCAATTTACATAGGTACATACATCCATGCATACATATGTACACACATACTACGGTACATATGGAAATGTATTTTGAAAGGAAGCCAGAAGAGCATTCAATTTAAATAATACAAATAAATTAATTGACAAACCAAATGCTAATTAACCACTTTCACAACAAAAGAAAAAGAAAAAAACAAAAACAGACTGAAAAGAAAATACTAAATAAAATGATTTAAAATTTTTATAATAGCCATAATAAAGGTAAAAATGCATTAAGCTGCTTTTACAAGAATTACAATAAACACACACACACACACACATATAGACACACAGACACATACACACACATATAGACACACAGACACATACACACACATAAATACATGGCTACATAACGACCCACCCACACAGACAACAGAACAACCAGTTACCCAGCAGCAGCCGCAGCCGCAGCAATGGACAGTTTATTAAAAGACAACAAATTTCATATAATAATAAATAAAATTTAATAGCGCCACAAGTTAAGCTTGTAAAGAATTATTAAAGTAAAACAAAACGAAAGTAAAACAAATATATATATACACATATATGAACATAAAACGACAAACAATGAGAAAAATGTATTTATATTTATACACAAGCAAGCAAAGAATAATTTAAATATACATATAAAATTCTTTTCTAAACACCAAACAAATAAAAGAGAGTCACAGGCACCGTTAGCATTTTTTTTATATACAAAAATACAATTTAAGCAATGTATATGAAGTAAATGATTAGTGAGAAACAACTGATGTCTTTGTAAAGACTTTATATATGCCTGCCATATGCCTACATCTGCCTAGCTGTCTGACTCTATTTAACACTAATTATTTCCTCTCGCTTGAGCACAAAAGCACTCCCCACACACACACACACACACACACACACACACACACACACACACACACACACACACACACAAACATACAAATACACACAGATACATACAGGCTCCACCTAAGCTCACAGTTAGTACGCGCCTTGGACATTGATTGAGGAATCGCGTTTTCATTATGACGTAGTCGAGATGAGCGTAGATCTGTAGATCTCTTTGTTTGGTAGTTACATACATAGATGCAGACATACATGCATAGGAACTAAGCATAGTTCTGAGGCAGCGTTAGTCCATTCTCATTTCCACTTGCATACTTTCCCCCCCTAATTCTCCACAATGGAGCGCAGTTTTTGAGCAACTCTATTTGATAGCAACTTCCCCGGCTACAAATTATTAGTGGTTCAGATGACTGTACAAGCCCTCCCAAAAATAAAAAACAAAACAAAAAAAGAAACAAAATTGTTATACTGTGTATATATACATATTTTGTTATATATGTATTTGTGCAAACAAGTAAGCAGCTAAAAAGTATGACACCCGCCACTTTTCTACTAAACAAATCGACTGTATATATAAGATAATATGTATGAGTATATTTATGTAGCAGTATAACAGTATATGTTGTGCATTTGCTTGTCAAAAAAACCAAAAAAAAAATAAAACAAAATAAAAAACCAACACACACACACACAGAATTACACTCATAGCTACACACGACTTGTACATAGGTCGATGCATTTTCTAATAGTTATTTTTCCTTTTTTCATTGGCATTACTTCTATTAGCAATATTCTTATATACAAAAGAAAAAAAAAATGAAAAAATAAAAGAGCTGTCATACATCTAAATGTTTTCTCAAACTCGATAATGTTATGCATTAATATGAAAACAAAAGCAAAAACTATTGTTATTGTTTTTTTTTTAATACTCGTAACTACAAAATCATTAAGTTTGTGCGCCATTTTTATAATACAACTACAAATAAAAAGAGATATATATATATATGTGTATGTATATATATATATATATATACATAAATACATATATACATACATACATATATGTGCTTATATATATTGTATATATATTTATATATACATATATACGTATATATATATATATATATATTAATGTATATACATATATCAGATATATAAAAAAAACAGTGCGACAACAATTTTGTATGTATTAATTTTTATTAATGAAAACCCGAAAATACACACAACAAAAACAACAACAACACAAACATAAATTGTTTTTATAAAAGTATATATATTAGATATATTATATATGAAAAACAAAACAAAAAAACAACAAAAAAAATTTAATAAATGTATTTAAAAATACGACAAAAAAACGATACAAAAAACGCCTGAATTAGTTTGTTACGCAAACAAAAAAAATATAATTAACTAACTTCAATGTAAAACAAAGGAACATACCCAATAAAGTAAAAAAAAAAAAAACAACAAATTGCACAATAACGTCTAAATGTAAAAATATTAATTAATTATAAACCGCAAAGCAAAAACTGAACATACAAATTTAATATTAAACCCAACAACAATGATGCCCGAAAGCACTAAAAAAAATGAATCATTTTTATTTTCATTAAATATAAATAATTAATGCTTTTTTAGTTCTCAACAAGTTGCATAATTTACATCAATGTATAATTTTTAAAAGAAAAACAAAAATATATATTATAATAATAATAAAATCCAACTTTAATAAAAAGGGCAAACAAAAAAATATTGTAATGTAATAAAAACGAAAAACAAAATAATATATTAAATTAAAAGCGAAATTTTTTCACACTTTAGCTTAATAAATTGTAAAAAAAAAAAATACAAAAAACAAAACTGAAATAAAATGAGATTTAATTGAATTTGTTATGCAAATGAAAAAAAAAACTGACCTTGTATTATTGGTAAATTTCAAACTACAAAAGTAATATTTTTTTTAGATAAATATCCATGATATTTGCTCATAGTAATTTCGCTCCTTGGCCGTCGAAATAAAAACCAAGAAAATAAGCAATTACTTTAAATGAGTTTTCCAAACGTAGTTTAAATGAAACTTATAGAAATTCAATTCACGCTGTCCCATTTTTTTTTTTTTTACATATTTGCGATCTTTGAAAACGTCTTGGATATCCATTTTCAGTTTCAATTTAAAGCTGCATATTTAAAATTGTGACATTTATTTCAATCGGTAATCGAATTTGATCGAGACGGAAAAGTATCGATCAAATTAAATGGAGTATAGTGTCTGAGAACTTTGGGATCCGAGTTGCTTCCTGACTGCCATTTTAATGAAAATAACGAAAAAATATAGAGATAAAAGATTGTTTTTATTTCAGTTTTATATATATTTTAATTTGCTGCTGCAAGGCGAGCTGTTATTAAGGCGCATTAGTCGCAGACAATTGCATATTACACATTACATATTACATATTTACAGGTGTGCTTGCTGCACTTACAGTTAGTGTTACAAAATCGGATGTGGAAGAAAGGGCATACTACGAACAAGGTGTATGTGTGTGTATTTGTAGTGGCAAATATGAGTTAATTGGGATAAACGATATACATAAATACATTTGGGCCCCATTTCTAAGCAAATGGAACTTGAATTGCACACAATTACAAAATGTTAAATGATTAGGTTAAACAATTAGATAGAACAATTTCCGAAAGTTCTACAACAATCAAGAATCGTTGAGAATATCCTTTAATATCGAACTGGAGTTGCGCGTTGGCGCAAATTCGCTGCTGCTCATCAGCAGTGATTGCATCGGCAACATTGCCGGCGTCGTTGGTGTTGCTGGTGTCGCTTGTGTCATCAACTGTTCGCTACCAGCTGTTGTTGTGGATATTGTTGTGGTTGCTGTCATTGTTGGTGCTGTTGCTGCTGTGTCTGTTTTTCCCTCCAACTGTTTGGCCATGCTTAGAAGATTGGGCCGCAACTGTGCCGTTGACTTCGGCTGCGATTCCTGTTCTAGAAACTGAACAAAGGCCTGCACCAGATTATCATGACCTGCAGCAGAAAGATGAAAGTTTGACAATTAGTGTTATTCATTCATATTTTAACAAATAAAAGTGCTCGAGAGCGATATCGATTGACTGGCCACAAATAGTATGCGAATAGTAAAAACTATAAAGTATTCCATGTTACCTGCGCCGCTGCCAGTATTTCCAGCACTGCTGCTGGCACCACCAAGAATGTTGCCCAGCCAGCTGGTCTGCTGTTTGTTGAGCCCCACTTTGTCCACCTCCTGGGCGTTAAAGTCAAGCACAGAAGATATCATGCGGAGCACTTGCTGCTTATCGTTCGCATGCCCGCTAACCACATAGCCAATTAGCAGGCTCTTGATGAGACTCTTGTCGATCTTGTCCGTTTGGCTGGACTCGCTGCTGCTCAGACTCTGCTCCAGCTTCATATTTTCATCCCTTAGGCTGTCCACTGTGCAAATTGGCAAGAAAATCATATTTTATTATGTGAAATGAAAGGATATTCAAATTGATATATGGATACGACTAATCAGTGCACAATTCAGGCGGATACTAACTTAGGGATAGATAATAGTTTACACGAAACGCGGGCGCGCGGGTAATTATTTGTTTTGTAGGCGTGGCATGCGGTTAGTGCGCCCACTGCACGGCGTAGTATGACATAAGTACTGGTTGTTGGTTAAATGGCACACCAGTACCTGATGTAATACTCAACCGTACAGACGCTTGTGATGCTGCTTCGGATGCTGATGCTGATGCTGATGCTGCGATTAAGTTTAGCTGTTTGCTCAAGGTGCAGCTGCTCAGTCAGTTGGTCTCTCTCTGTGTGTGTGTGGGTGGGTGTGTGTGTGTTGGTGTGTGTGTGTGTGTGTGTGGTTGTGTGTGCGTCAGGGTCAGTCGGTCTAGCTAAGAGGGCTGTTGCTTGGCTCACACGCAAATCAAAATTAAAGCTGGCAATACGCAAAATCGAATGCAAACAAATAACAACAACAAAAAGTCAATCAAATCAAATCATAAATTATTCAGCTAGCGGGCAAAACAACAACAACAACAACAAAGAGAGCAATACAGTACATACGAGTAGGGGTATATGCATATATATATATATATATATATATATATAGCATATATATATATTTCTATATAGGAATACAATATATATATGTCTTTGTATGTATGTATGTATAGTTTGTACATAATGTGGCATATGCTGCAATCTCGAGCAATCTCCAATTGCAAAGTGAGTGCGTCAAATTCTTAATAATCGCTCACATTTACAAATTGAGATTATTCAATGCTGCAGATAAGTTAACAACAATATAGAGAAAGCTGTTGAATATTCTTCTTTTTTCTTCTTTTTTTTTAGCGGGTTTACGGTTTAACGGATATATATATATATATATATATATATATATGTATATATATATACCAATAACGGTACTGGCAGCGCTCGCACGTTCAAGTCAGTAAAACAAATATAACACGAAAAATTATAGATACAAAAAATAAAATTATAAATAATTAAGATTATGAAAAATTAATAATCATACAGTGGTTTACAATAATTAAAATAATAATGAAAAATAACAGGCAACAGCAAAGTGTAAATAATAATATATAGTTTATAAATAACACACAATGTTAGCAAATTAAAAGAGTGTACTGGAAACACTGTGCAGACTCTCAAACTATAATTTTCATTCAAATAACAACTACATAAGTTACCAACAAATAGTGCAGCAAATGTTAAGAATATGAAAAAAAAATATAGCAATTTAAATATATATATATATATATCTTGTGAATTTGTGTGTTTGTGGCTTCTGCACAGTGGTACCAAGTCAACAATTTGTTTAAAGGCTAAAGAGTTAAGCTACAAATCAAAATTGAATATATACGATTCAAAGCATTCAATTAGTGTAGAACATAAAAGGCAGCTACATATAAATTTGGAAATTTCTTATTGGTATCGATGTCTCGAGTTTAAGTGTGTATGTGTGTGTGTGTGTGTGTGTATTTCTTTGTTTTGTGTGTACCAGCAACAGGAGTTAGGAGGTGGTTTTTGACAGTGGTGGGGTGGTGCTTGTGTTGTTCAGTTAGTGCAATGGAATATATATATATATATATATATATATATATATATATATATATATACTACACACATTAATTTGGAATTTGGAAACGGACGGACGCGTTTTTAGAGGTTTTACCTGATCTATAGACCAACATTGCTTTGCTTACAGCCAATAATTTCCATATGCCGTAGGTGCGATCTTACGAGTAGATTATAGTTTTTTTTTTTTTTTTGGTTTTAATATCGATTGTTTATTTAGTTTTTGTGTTTTTTTTTTATTATGTTTATTTCGGATTTTTCTTTTGTTTTTTTTTTTGGATTTTTCTTTTGTTTTTTTTTGGGTTTTTTTTGCGATTTGGTGATAAAATGCAATTCAAAAAAGTCGATACCAACTGAAATTCCGAGTGTTTCATATTTGGCATTGCTCCCAGAATTACCAGCTGATATTTACCTTTGAGAATCGGGTGAGGTGACGTCATTCTTTCTTTCTCTGTCTGTCTCGCTCGCACGCACGCACGCACTCGCTCACTCACTCTCTCTCTCTCTCGCTCTCTCGCTCTCTCTCACACACACTTATACAAATGCATAGACAATGAAACGCTTATACACAAATCATTCACTCTCAAAAAAAAAAACAGTTCCAACATTTAAATCGAACTTGGTGCGGGTTTTATGCATGAGGGTAGATCGATCAGTAAGTGAAAGTAACAACGTTTTTTTGGGCCGTGTAAACCATGATGTGAATCGTGGGTTAAGAACATGCCGTTAACTGTGGGTGGTAACTGAGTTTTTGCTAGTCGGTAAAATTGGTAATTGGTATTTGGTATTTGGTATTTGGTAATTGATAGTTGGTATTTGTGTAATTGATTGTTAATAGTATTTAAATGCGAGGTGCGTTTTAGATACACCACACCAACGATTACCGATTTCTTTGTGGGTTAGTCAATCAAATCCGTGAGACACGTTCCATGTTGCATGTTGCATGTCGTATGTTGCACTCACCTTCGTCCCGCAGCACGGCTATCGTCTGCTGTCCGGCCTCCAGCTGATCGGAGAGACGTGCAGCGGCACGCAGCCCCTGATTGGCATCAGCCAGCTGCTGCTGCAGTGCACCCATTTCGGATCGCAGCATCCTATGCTGCTCCAGCTGCGCCTGCATCTCGCGTCGTATGCGCTGCGTGGCCAACTCAATATCATGCTCCTTATCTTTTGGTTGCGACAAATACAAAAAAAAATCAAATAAACAATAAACTCGATTGATTCCCCTGTGGATATGCTTACCATTCTGGAACTGTTCCAGGGCGCACTGCAAATTGGTCAGCGCCGCCTGCTGCTTCAGTTCGCGATCCTCGCACTGACCTAGCTTGGCAAGCAGCTCGTCCCGCTGTTGCAAGAGCAGCGCGTGCTGTGCCTGCAACGTCTCTGCCTGCTGATTGGCCCTAATGCTGTAAAGTTCGTATGTATATCGTTGTATATATATATAACAACAGCAACAACAACAGCACAATTTCAAGTGGCATGGCATTTGAGCTTGCTGTGAGAGTCACAATCAAGCTGAACACACTTGCCACACCGCATGACCAAGGGGAACACACACAACACACTTACCTGGCCGAGGTATAGGCGGTGCTGGACTTGGACACCTCCTGCTGCAGGGCCGTCTGATTGGCGCGCGCCTCATCCAGTTCACGCTGCAGCTCGACACTCTCCTGTGTGTGCAGCTCCTCGATCTCGAGGAGATGGGCCCGCAAACGTTCCAGATCACGTTGCACGGCTGCCTGTTGCTCATTGGATTCGATTTGTTGCTGCTGCAGCAGACGCTGATTGGTTTGCTCTGTCAGCAGATTGCTGGTCAGTATGTCGGACTTCTCCTTGAGGAAACTGATCTGGTCGCAGAGCTTCTCGCGCTCCTTGATCAGATCATTCAGCTGCTGTTCGATTGGCTGCAATCGCTGTATTTCCGCATAGTATTGTGTATTCTCTGTGATCTTCTGCTGCAGCGCCTTGATCAGCTCCACTTTCTCAGCGTTCAACATATCGAGTGATTGCTGTAGTTGAGCACTTGCCGCCAGCTGTTGTTCCAAACGTTCGCTTAACTGATTGACACTCTCCTCATCGGCCCCATCTTTGGGCGTTTCCTTGAGCTCCTTCACTTGTGACTGCAACTCGGCCAGCTGTGACATTAATTCCACATTCTGCTCCTTGCTCTCAGCGAGCTCCAACTGCCTGCGTTTCATTTCCTCCTGCAGCGCCTCCAGCTCGGACTTCAGTTGATCGGTGCACCGCATCCGCTCCAAGAGCACCAGCTCGTTTGCCTGCAGCTGCTCGCTGTGCTCGGTGCTCGCCTGCAGTTGTGTGTGCAGCTCCACCATTTGCTGTTTTAGCTGCTCGATTTCAGTTTGATTTTGTGTCTGCAGCTGCTGCAGCTGCTTGTCCTTCGCTTGCAGTTGCTGAAGGAGTTGCTCGTGTTGGCTATCCTTGGCTAGCTGCAGTTCCTCGTGCTGCAACCGCACCAGCTGCAATTCACTGCTGCTGTCATCTTTGGGCTTTTGTTGCCTTAGTTGATGTACCTCAGCCGTTAGCTGCTCCAGTTGCTGCTGCTTGGCGGCCAGCTCATCCGATTGCTGCTCCAGTTGTGCCGCATCGTTGCGGCGCAACAATAGTGCGTCCTGTAGTCGGATCTGTGCGTCATCCAGCTGCGATTCGAGCTGTGCGATTGTCTCCTCGTGATGCTCCTCGATGGTCTCCAGTTTGTTGCGCTTGAACTTTTCCAGCTCGTTGAGCAGCAGCTCGTTGTTCTTCATCAGCTCATCGCACTGTAGGATATACTGTGAGATGTCCGCCTCGAGTGTCTTCTTTTCGTGCTCGGATATTAGTTGCTGATCCTGTAGCTCCACCAGTCGCTGTTCGGTGCTATCCAGACGCTGCCAGCGCTCATTTAACAGGCGATGCGTGCGCTCCAGCGCCTGATCCGTGCCTTCAGCGATCAGTGCCTCCAGCAGGCCGTGCAGCTTGTGCGGATCATGCTCGTCCTTGCTGTCGTGGCTGTCCAGCTCCAGATCTAGATCGGTTATCTCCTGCTTTTCCTCGGCAATCGCCTGCCGGAACTTGGCTTGCGCAATGCTGGCGTCTAGCTCCTGGCGCAGCCGACGATTCTCGTCGCGTATCGCGCCCAACTGCTGTTCCAGATCATTGGCGTGCGTCTCCTGATCGGCCTCGGCGTTCAGCTTTAGCTCCTGATTCTGCAGCATTAGCTGTTGCAGCTTGCGCTGCAACTCCAGCTGCAACTGTTCCTTCTCGCTCTCGCTGATGCGTAGTCGCGTCTCCAGCTCCGACAGCTGCTCGTTCAGCACATTGGCAGCCAGCTGCCGCTCCAGCTCACCATCCTGCAGCTTGACATTCGCAGCGGTTAGCTCGGCAATGTGCGCCTCCAAAGCGACAAGCTTGTCGCGCAACTTCTCCTTCGATGGTGGTGTGGTCGCATCTGCATCGGCATCGGCATCGGGATCGGGATCTGGATCGGAGCCAGTCGCCTCAGCATCCGCATTGCGCACCACTATAAACTCATCCTCGCTGTGCTTGCCGGTTGATGAGCTGTTCGATGACTCCGACGTTTTCTTCTCCTTTTGCGCAGCCTCCTTTTTGATCAGCTCGTCCAGCTCACGCTGCAGCGCCTCGCGCAGCGCATCGGCCTGGCGCACACGCTCGATCAGCTCACCATTGTCGGCGCCCCGTTTCTCGAGCAGCTGATGCATCTCGGCCAGTTCGAACACGCTACGCTTCAGCTCCTCGGCCTGCTGCTCGACGCGCTGTTGCAGCTCATGTTGCACCTCCACAGCGGCCAGCTGTCGCTTCCGCTCATCGACGAGTTGGGCTTGAAGGCGGGCCATCGCCAGCTCGTGCTCCACTAGACGGTCCGTCTGCAGCTGCTTGAGCGTGGCCAGCTGTGTCTGCAGCTCCGTCTTTTGGCCCAGCACATCCTGTATGGCGATCTCGTGCTGTGCATCCAGCGTTTCCATTGCGTCACGTATCTGTCCATTCTCCTGCTGCAGATTCGCAATGATCGCGTTTAGGCTGGACACATCGGCGACACCAGAGACAAGTGCAACATCCACCATTCCCGCTTCCTTTTTGCCCCCAGCTGCCGCTGCCACCGTTGCTGCCGTCGGCACTGTGGCATCGTTGCCAGCTGGCTCCCAACACCAGCTGTCGTCCACCACATTTTGCTCCTCACCTGAATGCTGAGGGAATTACAAAAAAAAAAAAATAAAAATAGCAAGTGAAAAATTAATTAGTTTAAAGATATATTTTTTAGAGTTTTCTAGATAAGACTAGTTTAATCTCTAGGCGATTTTGTCTGTATCACAATTTAATGGAAGCTTGGAAACAGCAAGCGACCAAGTCGCAAGGATTGGTTCAATTTTTAAACCCTTGCCATATAGCTGCCATAGGAACAAGCGATCGCAAGATGAGTTTGAAGTTGTGGGATCGAAATAGATACAATAAAGACAAATATGTCATCCTTTCTGATACCAAATAATGAGACAAATATGAAATATGCAGTTCATAACCAGTCGTGAAACAGAAAACAGAAATATAAATCCAACTCTGATCCTAAATTGTAAGGGCGTGACTAAGAAAGCAGTTCTTTCATGCTTCCACTCGATATGCAAAAGCGAAGCACAACTGTACGCGAAAATGATAATGGAGATGATGTCTAGTCAAATGGTTGGTAATCGTTGGCAATATATCCTTAAAGCGAGCCCAACCCATGGTTACACATTGATAATGTTTCTGATATTTGTAGCTGCCCCGCAATTCATCTCCCCCCACCCGTCCAGCCTTCTATCCGCTGCTGTAAGCGTGTCAGGTGCTGCAAACTGAGCGCGTGAGACATGCGCTCGGCGCTAATGAGTTTATGAAAGACTCGAGAGTCGTTTCGAGGCGAATCGAGTCGAGTCGAGTCGAGTCGAGGCGAGTCGGAGCCGGAGCCAATCCAAGCCGAGTCGAAATATGGCCGCCATGCGGTTTGACAGCACATACGATAACAGAGAGAGAAACACACAGAGTAGTGGGGACGGGGTGGATGGGAGTGGGTGGAGCGGGGGGAGTGGGGGGAGCGGGCTGGCGACAGCAAAGTGGCTATAAAAATGACGCATGACACTAGCTGATGGCTGATGACTGGTTGTTGGGCGCCCAGCAAAATGGCTGCTCGTAAACGGGGCAAATTTAATTAAAATTAGCACAAAATGTGCGACAACGAAACCGGCGGCGAAATGTTGAAATGTTATGGGTAGGGCGGCGCAAAAGTGGGCGTGCTCACGATAAGCCCTATGTATATATATATATATGTGTGTGTGTTTACAAATAACCATTATGCATTCTAATATAAGATATAGACAGATGGAAAAGCGACACTTGTGCAAACTAGGTTATCTACATACAACTCGAAATATATATATATATATATATATATAGATATATATATAGATATATATATAAATACAAGTGTGTGTGTGTGCGAAAACACTTGTGTTGCATAAACAAATATTAGTTGAATTATTCATTTCCTTTGATCGAGTAACACACAAAAAATATTCTCAATTTCTGTTTCCATACAAAAAGCGTTTTTTCAACAGAGAATCGATCAGTGAATGCGTCATTTTGTTGAACATATCCAAAACTGTACTTTCATATATGATGTATGCGTATAGCATGTATCTATCTATCTATCTATCTATCTCTATGTATACACTAAATGTAAATATGTATTGCCGGTCAGGCCATAAGCCTATAGTTATCTATATCTTTATGTACATAGACACACATGCATATATAGTCGTTAAATATAGCGGAGACAACAACCGCAATGCAAACACAACACTAATAGCAACAATAAACAAGAGGAACTTAACAATAATAATAGTAATTCCTTCGAAATGATAAGGAAGTGGAAGAACAAATGCTATCGCAACAGATAAGATACAGAAAATGCGGTGGAAAAGTATGTATACGACATGGTGAGCACCGAGTCACCTCTTGGGACTAGTTGGAGCTGAAGTTGGAACTGGAACTGGAGCTGGAGCTGCCGGAAGTTCACAGCACACAAAGAACAAATAAACGAATTAGACAATATGCTACAAGATGGAAACACAAGTAAACATAAAAAACCATGCAGCTTAATATTACAGCAGCATCAGCAAAGAACTCGGCTGAAACAAAGGAGATTGCAACATAAACACAGACAGAGGAGTATACAAATATATATATATATATACATATTTTTGGTATCGTCTTGCAAGAGCATCAAATTTGTTGATGCTAGCTTTTTGGTAATTATTCAAATTTGCAGGCACAGCTAAAAAAACTAAACGGAAAACTTGATCTGCAATATATATATAAAGAGAGGTAGGCATGTACAATTTTACCCCTTGGAAACAGAACAGACAAAAGCATATTTATCTATCGCTGATAAAGATATAGCAACAACAAAAAAAAGACGATCAGTGACTTTATGTATGTGTGCATCATTTGCTGGCTATAACCGAATCGAGTAACGAATGATTTGCGAATGATTGATCTAATATGCAAAATATGAAATGTGGGAAATGCGCCAACTTTAACGAAAACTTACAGATACAGATATATACACAGTCGATTTTTAGTTTATATATTTTAGAACAACTATAAATTATGAATTGGTAATTTGTGGGAACCTATTCAACTTAGATAGTTTATCGCGTAATGAACCTTTTGTTTAACTTGACTTAGATATCAGTGCCACTACAAATTCAATAAAAAAAAAACAACAACAACAACAAAAAAAACACATGCCCATAATCTACACATAACTCTTATCGAAATTGTCGGGAAGGAAAAAAAAAACAACGAACATGCCATGAAATATATATTTTGAAAACTATGAGTCAAATTCGTTAGGCAACGGCAAAAGAATGCGATAGTCTAGTACAACGACATATCGAGTACATAATTTAATAATAATAATAAGAGTTCAATTTTAAATCGAAATCAATTGAAAATTTCAAGTGCCCAGCGTGTTTTGCCAATTCTTATTTGATTAGTAATACCAGTTCGGACCAGACCCAGGGTGGACGCCTTCAGTTGCCATTGGCATTGCTGCTGCTGTTGTTGTTTTTACTTTTGCTTATCTTATCGCTCTTGGCACACACACACACACACACACAAAGAGTCGACAGGTCCGCAGCGAGCCCAAAAGGGTTTCGTTTGTCAATTTAATTGTTTATAAATAAATATTGGGGCACTCATCGCTTATGACTGTGGATGCCGCACTGAATCATGAACTGCCAGCAAAATATACATGGGAGTCACACAAATATGATGAACAAAGAGTCCGCAGTATTTTATTTCTACTGTTTGAATTTGAATTTGGGGTTTCTGGTTGGCAACAGTTTTTTTCTGTTCTATTTATGCTGGTTTTAAGTTCCATTCGCTCGAAACGTAACGAAACGAAACTCAATTGCCAACTATCAGTGAATAACACAACTTTTTTTTTAAGTACTGCAACTCACCAGAAGAGATGAACTTACCTAACCCGATTCTGTGGAAAATTAAACATATGTTTAACGCAGAAAAATACTGCTATGTATACAAATATTATGCAGATCTGCATTGGTCACATTTCGAATAGTTTCTCAAAGTTAGATCGACTGTAAGAGAAATTCGGACTATTCTTTTAGTTCATTCCATTTATAGACACAAAATTTAATGGATCATCTGGCAATAGTATAAATGATGTAGAACGATAAGTTATTTAGAAATCTTTTCGAAACAGGAGTCGATATTTTGTCATCATCTTCTTCTTATGTGCAGTATTTATTTCTTGAATAGGGTATTAAATATTCAGCAAAGTGAATATAAGGTTTCTCTCGGCACAAAATGCTTATCTAAGCAAAAAAAAAATTCAAATGACTCCACCTATATACATTATATATATATATATATATATATGTATTTCTGTGTATGTAATTTTTTTTTGTTCAACTCTGAAGTAATTAAGATATAAATTATGAGCAAGCATGAAATTAATTATTGTTACTCTTCAATTTCTGTCATCTAAGAGAAGTACAAATATTTGCATACATATATACACAAAGATATAGCCATGCCATAATTAAAACAATTTGTTCGTCTTCACCTATCTCTCTATATATATATATGTATATATATGTTTATCTATGTATATATATATATATATATATATCGACTGTTTATCGCTCTTTCGCTATCTGGCTGTGTGTTTACTTGCCGGAGCAATAAATGATTTACATATAATAAAGAATAATAGTTTAGTGCATGCAGTTCAACAAACACAAAAAAAGCAAACAAACAGCAGCAACAACAACAACAACAACAAGAGAGCAATTAATTGCACAAAACGGAGCTAATAAGCTAACACGAGAAGATGTCAAGAGACAAAAGTCGAAAGTCAAGTTGAAAATGACGATGAGATCTCGTTGCTGACCAGACAACTTCAGCCATAATTAAGTACACGTACTTACACACACACACACACACACACATACGTTAATATAATGAGCATTTTTAACAACAACAACAGTCATACAACACACACACAGCAGAAGAAAAAAAACTTACATTTTTCTGTTTTGTTTTTTTTGTTTTTCGCCTGTCAGCGAAGATGTCAATTTTAAATTTTGCAGCTCTGAAAATTTATGGCTCAATCTCACAGTTTTTCAGTTGCGCGACTGCGTCCCAGTCTTAAGTTTTCGTTTCAGTTCAGTTCAAAAATACGACAAACGAAAATAACGAAAAACGAAAAACGGAAAAAAAAAACAAAAACAAAAACGTTACTAAATTATTGTCAAGTAATACATGGAACGGAAAAAACCCGGTTAATTTTCACTTGGCAGGCACTTGTTGCATATGGCGACGTTTTTTTAGTTTTGCTTTGTTTTTTGGTTTTTAAATTTGTTTTTTAATTGTACAACTTTAAACGTTTTTGTGCAGCAACAACAACAACAACAACAACAGTAAAAAACACAATAAAAAAAAAAGTGTGAGCCAAACAAATAAACTTAAAAATCGAATAGTTGTAAAAACACCGACACCGATTGACTATTAGTGCCGGCGGCGAATGTACTACTCTGGGCTGAGATAGAGCAGAGTTCACCACGTCTTGCCCGCAGCGCGACCGATCGACGAGTGAACGCAACGTGCAATGCGCCATGGGGGAAAATAG